TATATGTATATGTGTGTTTAATACAAAATATTTAATTATTGTAGTATTTTAGTACAGTTATTTTACAGTAATTGCCGTATTCATTTACCATAGTATTGTATGTGCATGCTACTCCAAGAAACTTGTTTTAGAAATAACAGTATGTATTTGCTAGACAAATTATAGAAACTCACTTAGAAATAGCTAGTAAATTTCACAATTACAAAGAAGTAACACATTGTATTAAACGTGAAATTTCGAAGGATAGTAAAAAAAAAAAAAAAAAACTATTTTTTTCTAAAACCTACTCGAATAATCTTTGTTTTATTTACAACAACAACAAAAAAAAATCACTTTTTACCAAAATCATTGTTTTCTCGTTTACATAATACTAAACAACACGCACGATTCTTTTCAATGTTGGAGAATTTATTTTAATTAAAAAAAAAACATTTTGTGACATAATAATGTTTGAGACTTTCAGTTGTAGGGTTTTTTTTATGGATCTGAATCTCTGAATCTGTATCCCGAAGAAGCGCTTCAGAAATAAAGAATTGTGGATTTATATGAAATTTCATCAGGAGGGGAAGGCTGCCATTCATCTGGCTGCAGAACAAGGTCATCAAGACATCGTGGACATCCTGCTGGCCCATAAGGCCTTTGTGAACGCCAAGACCAAACTGGGCCTGACGCCTCTGCACCTCAGCACTCAGAGCGGCTCGGCGCAGCTCGTCAGGCTACTGGTGGAGACCCATCAGGCCAGTGTTGATGCTCTCTCTCTGGTAAGAACTGAAAGCTCTGTGCAGATATGATAACCTAGAGAAATGAAACTGAGCGGCTCGTTTTCACAGAGAAAGCAGACGCCTCTGCATCTGGCAGCCATCAGCGGACAGCTGGACGTTTGCAGCAGCCTGTTAAACCTGAAAGCTGACATCACTGCTACAGATATTGTGAGTGTAATGAGACAGAAACACAGACACTTGCAATAAATAATATATTGTGTTATTCTTCATTTGTGAATTCAGATTACATCTCAAATCCACCATGATGCAACTTCAAAAATTGACAAAGTGAAACCACTTTGTGAATTTGTTTGCCATCTATCAATTATGTATTTCCTTTATTTAAACAAAATTAAATTTAAATATGAATAGTAAACTTAATACAACTGATATATAATTGAAATAACTCCTAAGTGATTTTTACATTTATCTAAATAAATGCTTTTTACACAGCCAAGTTTATTCTGAGTAATCTCTATAACTGATCCAAATTCAGTATAATACAGTAAAATATAAAAAGATATAATAATATACAACTTTTGTACAAATATATTTATACAGATATAATTTAATTTATATTATATTGTATATACATGATAAAACGTAACACAATAAATAACATTAAACCTATAACATTATTTGTTGCCATTAGTTAACATGAACTAATGAACAATACCTGCAGCATTTATTAATCTAGCTAATGTGAATTTCAGCATTTACTAATACCTTTTAAAATGACAAGTTGTATTTGTTAATAATCGTTAATTCACTGTGAACTAACGTGAAAATCAATTAACAGTTTTTTTTATTAAGTAACATTAAGATTAAGATTAATAAATGTTGGAAAAAATATATATATATTGGTAGTTGGTAGTTCTTGTTAGCTAATGCATTAACTAATGTGAACGAATGAGACCTTAATGTGAAGTGATACCAAAATAAACCTTAAAATATTTTAATAAAACTTCCTATAATAAAACCTGTTTATGAAACGTTTGAGGTAAAATACGATAAATTATTCTCTATATTTTCTTTCTGTATAAGTTGGAGATGTCATCTTTATAGCTGACAGACCCCTGATAATAATAATAATAATAATAATAATAATCCTGCCGTTTTGTGTTATTGTACTTGGAATTAAAATATTGAACTTGAAACAAGTCATCTAATAAGTGACAAAGCCAAGTTTATTCTACAACTTCTTAAAATTCTGCATAGACACATTATTATATAAATATTTATACATTAATTCATAATTATTCATATTTTAATCAATTCATGATTGTATATTCATAATTTCACATTTAAATAGAGTATTTTTTCCTATTATAGTAATGTAAATGCAGCTTTTCATGGTGTATATTGCTATTCCAGATGCTGCTTTTGTGCTGCCTCTGCTGTCTAAAGGAAGTATAAGATATCTAATATATATTCTCAAAGTATGCTTTACTATTTTAAGAGAATATTGCTTCTCGAATTCCCCCAGTCCTGTTTTTCCACTGCCCACTTCTCTTTATAACTGACAGAATCCTGACAATAATAACAGTGATCCTGCCATCGTGGCTCATCTAGAGTGTTTGTTTCAGCGCGGTCAGACTCCTCTTCATCTGGCGGCGGAGAACGATCACTCGGAGGTGGTGAAGCTGTTTCTGAGGCAGCAGCCTGAATTAGCCATGCTAGCTAACATGGAGGGAGCGACCTGCACACACATGGCTGCGGCTAAAGGCAGCGTAGCCGTCATTAAAGAACTGCTGCTGTTTAATCAAGGAGGACCGGTCACACTCAACAACAAGGTCAGGACGTCAAAGGTCATTTCATGCTTTATTATTTTAGTATCATTAATATACTGTTATTAATATTTTAAAGATTATTTTTATGATTTCATTTCTGATTTTAGTTAGTTTTAGAAACTTGGAACAAAAATATATATTTTTTTTGTTTTTATTAATGTAGTTTTTAATGTGAATATATCTATATAGTAGGGGTGTAACGGTACACGCATTTGTACCGAACCGTTTCGGTACGGGTCTTTCGGTTCGGTACGCATGCAGAGCGGAGCGGGAGTGAACGCGATCATTCCTTCCTCTGTACTACTAGTTTTAACGCGAATAAACATGACTGAACATCTCATGCCTCATGTAATTGCTCAATCAGTGTTTCAACCGCGGAAAGACATCAACAATACAGCGTGGAAATAAAATGTCACGTAGCATTTAATTTACCTCAGCAAGTCATCAGTGTCCACAGCTCGTTAGTTCACTAGAGAAATCTAGAGAGGAGCATTTTGCAAAATATTACACCATATACTCATTATATTTTACTAAACCTGTTAGTCTTAATTATTTAATGTACAGTATGTTTAAATTAATCTGTTATGAAACATGCTATGACAGCCATTGTGTAATTGAATATATTTTTAAAAAAAGCTTAGAAATTTTATTATTTATAAATTAATTTAAGAACTGCATTATGTGCAGTTTGCATACAATTTTTTATTTTTTTATTTTTTAAAGTTGAGTGTTGATCATCTATTTAAAAATAAATAGTAATTAAATTTAAGTTTGGGTTAAGTTGTTAGGCCTAATTGTAACCTTATAATGTAAAAGGGCTCCCTATAGTTTTAAGCTTAAGCTGAGGTAGATTTTTATCACTAAGAACATTTAAACTATAACTGAATGTATTTAAAGAAAGAGCAACTTGTTCAGTAAACCATTTTTAAAAAAAAAGTTTTTCCCCCTGCTGTACCGAAATCATACCGAACCGTGACGTTAAAACCGAGGTACGTACAGAACCGTCATATTTGTGTACCGTTACACCCCTACTATATAGTTTTTTTAACTTAATTTTTATTAGAAACCGTATATTCCCATAAGTTTAAATATTTCATATCAGTTAAAGTAACAACAGAACTGCAAATATAATGCAAATACAAGAGGCAGCAAACAGAAATACCAGAATTTAATTTAAAATTAGATTTGATTAAGTATCTGAAACAAACGAAAAACAAGAATGAGAATTAGATATTTATATTAACCATCAATCATGTTTTTTTTTCTATTCGATTTGATTTCAGTTTTAGATATTTTAAATACTTAAACTAAATAAAAATGAGAAATGTTTCCTTGGGAAGTGGCTGAAAAAACAACAACAAAAAAAAATATATAATTTGATCACACACACACACACACACGGTCCGTGGCCTTCCGTCCGATTGCCACCAGGTCGCTCTCCCATTATACTGACTCTCACACCACACAGACTGTTACACATCACCCTGGACTGCATTTCCCATCATCCATTGCACTGATTGCACAGCTGTAACCAATCACACGCTCACCTGAAAGCTGTTACACACACACACACACACACACTATATAACACCCACTCAGATCCTGCTTAAGTTTCCGAGTATTGTTTAGCATTTATCACTCTTGTAGCGGTAGCTACTTTACGGAGCCAGTTCCTGGTCTAGTTCATAGTTCAGTGTAGTCTAGCCTTGCCTTGCCTGTTTGCTTGCATGGGTCTTCGATCGGTGAACAGAATCCAGAGGGCTTGACAAAAGGGGTAATCCGTAAACACAAACAATAGTCCAGGCAGGGGCGAACAGAGTCCAAACGGCAAGACGATAGGGCAATCCGAAATAACACAGGCAAAGATCTTCACACAGGAAAACAGGCAAGACTAGACTGAACTAGACCGGGAACTGGCTCTGTAAAATAGCTACCGCTAGAAGAGTGATAAATGCTAAACAATACTCGGCGACTTCAGCAAGAGCTGAGTGGGTGTTATATAGTGTGTGTAATTAGCTTTCAGGTGAGCGTGTGATTGGTTACAGCTGTGTGCAATTAGTGCAATGGATAATGGGAAATGCAGTCCAGGGTGATGTGTAACAGTCTGTGTGGTGTGAGAGTCAGTATAATGGGAGAGCGACCT